AAGGGAACAAATCGTAAAAACCCGAAAGGGTATACGAGTGAAAGAAAATTTTATTTCATTGGCCAGGGCTTATAATTCTAATACTTCTAATGATATGATTGTTTAGGTACTTGACGTATACCGAATGGACCACTCTTTACGGAGGAAAAAGAAAAGGAGATGACCTTGAAACCTCAGAGGATACAACATTTCGACATTTGCCATTTAACCATTGTTGCGTAAGCTTCCAGCCCTTCAAACATCCTTATTGTGATCTCCAGGGTAATATTTTCGAGTTGGAGCCATTATTGGACTATATAAAGCAGTACAAACACAATCCAGTAACTGGAAAAACTCTCGACGTCAAGAGTTTAATCAAATTGAACTTTTTTAAAAATGCTGAGGGCGAATACCATTGCCCCGTTCTCTTCAAAGTATTCTCTAGACACACGCATATTGTTGCTGTTAAAACTACTGGAAACGTCTTTTCATACGAAGCTGTAGACCAATTGAATATCAAATCGAAGAATTGGAAAGATTTGATCAATGATGAACCTTTCATCAGGTCAGATTTGATTACCATTCAAGATCCAACAAACGTTGATAAATTTAATCTCTCGAGGTTCCATCACGTCAAAAATAATCTTAGAATTGAAGATGAAGGTAAATATGAGTCATTGATATTTTCCCTAGATTCTATTTGATGCAAAAAATTAGTAAATGGAGATATAGGCGTGTCATTTAAATGTAAGATAAATTCAGAACAGATATTCATTTACTAATGTTCTTGGAAGTATTTTAAAAAATCAGAATTATTTTTTGTTTTTGTATCTGCTCAGTTCAGGAATTAAATATTTAATTTAGTAATATAGAAAAGCACTACTTGTATCTGATTTAAAAATGACACATGTTCCTTTATCAAACTAGAGTTATAATAAATAAGCTCAGTAGGGTAATGAATGTATGAAATTAAAAAGGAATTATAGATCTGTATTGTCTTGATTTTCTGCAGAATCTAAATTCAAATTCTTCTCGAATATAGGACAAACTAACGGAATAATTTCTCATTCCTAGATACAATTAAAGATCGTAAAAATCCAAATGCAAGATTGAAAATGGTATCGATGGAGACACGCGAGACTTTAGCTGAGTTGAAAAGAGATTATAAGCCTTTAAAAAAAGAAGATGAAGCAGCAGAGGAAGTCGCTGATAAATTCAATGCGGTAAGATTAATTGGTAATTGTTATATTGGTAATATTTTTACAATTATGGCTACCTTATTGATTGCAATGCTCTCGTTCTCTTCATATATTTGAGAAACACCAATAGGTTAGAAAAATGAGGACATTAGAATATATTAGAATATAACTGACGGTAGTGGCCGTGCGGTTAGAGTGCTAGACTACCATGCCAACGATCCGGGTTCGATCCCGGGCACCGGCGGTCAAAATTTATAGCGTGGACATAATTTAACTTTTAAAGTTGAGTTGACTTTCCATGTCTGTAATTTGAATGCTGCTTTTTTTTGGCTTAATAAATAGGCTCATTACTCTACGGGTGCAGTAGCAGCAGGTTTTACATCCACAGTAATGCCAAGAGAAACCATTCACAAGGCAGCCATTGTTGATGGGGATCTCGTGAGGTACGAACGAGTAAAGAAAAAAGGATATGTCAGGATTATAACAAATTTCGGAGCATTAAATGTGGAATTGTTCGCTGATGTTGTTCCCAAAACCTGCGAAAATTTCATAAAACATTGTCAAAATGGTTACTATAATAATACCAAGTTTCATCGGTCTATTAGAAATTTTATGGTAAGTAAAGAATGAAACAAAAAAGTTTGATCATCGTCAGAATATATTTGCTAATAAAAATGAATAAAGTCCAAGGGAATTACTAGAGCACGAGTCATGCCATAGAATCCTTATTGAAATCATAACTTTGGTGTGCAGATTCAAGGAGGAGATCCTACGAATACAGGAAATGGAGGACAATCAATTTGGGGAAAATCATTTAACGATGAGTTCAAGCCAAATTTGATCCATCAAGGTAGAGGCGTCCTATCGATGGCAAATTCGGGGCCAAACACTAATGGTTCCCAATTGTAAGCATGAATTATCATAATCACTTCACTCGACCTTCTAGCCGTTGTTATCTTAAATGTTGACTTATGATGAAATCACCCCGATCTATAAACACCTATAATATATTCGTCTATTTTTATAATGTTTTTAAATGGCCATAGAATTCAACCAACGTAATTATTCTCGTTTCAGTTTTATTACATTTCGATCCTGTCGACACTTAGACCGCAAACACACAATATTTGGCAAAATTGTAGGTGGAATGGAAACATTGAATGCGATGGAGAAGATTGAAGTTGACAATAAGGACAGGCCTATTGAAGATATTATTCTTCAGACGGCCCAGGTATTTGTAGATCCATTTCAAGAGGCTGATGAACATTTGGCTGCTGAGAGGGCTGAAGAGATCAAGAGAACTCAAAAAGAGGCTGAACAATTGAAACTTGCAAAAAAAACCGATAACAATGTACTGAAAACTTATAGATCGGGCGTGGCCAAGTACCTTCAACCGTCAACGAGTTCAGAGTAAGTTTTATATATGATCTTTTTTTTGACATTTTCACTGTTGAAATTACTTGAAAATTTCGAAATTTTGAAAGAGTGAGCAATTAGTTATCACGAGACCGAACGCGCGCGCTATTTGATTCCGTTATGTTGATTATGATATAGCCAATTGACCAATGAGGAATGATTTTTATTCGGAATGGCCAATGCGAAATAGGGTTTTGCGTGAAAAGTCTTACGCATGAAATTAGCCGAAATCTTACTCTCGACAACTTAATTTTGGTGTATCACCTTTTATAGATATGAGATCTACTGCGCACTCCGTGCGCCGAATTTGAATTTTGACTTCGGATTCGAGTTGACCAATAGGGAATCAG